CACTATGTTACAATAAGCTAGAATCCACAATGAAGTTAGAGCAGTTATTAATATGTATATACCCAATGACAAAGCAAGAATAGCCACTAAGCAGAAACTATAGGAGATGGGAAGAGACATACACAGAGATTCTCAATCAAGGCAAAAGAAAAAATTCAAATACTTAGTAACTAGGGATACATTCCCAAGCAATGTAACCACATATATCTCAAAGAATTTTTTTCAATTTCATATGAGCAGTTATAAAAATTGACTATATTTTAACCAATGATTAAAGCATTAATAATGCCAGCAAAATGATGAACATGTAAATAGCATTTTTGAACATTAATCATCCTATCTAATAATAGAGAAACATGGTAATTAGCCGTACCTCCGCTACCCTTCCCATTGGCTAATCGGGGCGATATGCAAATTAACTGCCAACCAAGATGGCGGCCGGCAGCCAGGCAGCTTGAAGTGAACAGGAGGCTTGCTTGCTTCAGTGACGGAGGAAGCCAATGTTCCCCGCCTGCCTTGCTGGCCTCTGAGCTGCTCTCTAAGAAACATAGTTACAAATATAGAAGCTAAACAAACTCCAGAAACCTGCTTTCAGCCGTCAGAGCTGGAGCAAGCAGGACTGAAACAATGTTTCAATTATAGAACCCAAACAAACCCAGATCCCTGCTTTCAGCAGCCGAGGTCTCAAGCTGGAGCCGGTGACAGCCATAGATAAATAAACTCCAGAATAAAAAAAAAAAGGAAAAAGGAGAGGTTGGGAGCTTCAGTCGCCCACCAGCCTGAAAACGGCCCTCAGCCCCTCACCCAGACTGACCAGGCACCCCAGTGGGGACCCCACCCTGAAGGGGGTGTGACCAGTGGCAAACAGCCATCATCCCCTCATCCAGGCTGGCCAGGCACCCAAGTGGGACCCCCATCCTGAACCAGGACACCCTTCAGGGCAAACCAGCCGGCCCCAACCCGTGTACCAGGCCTCTATCCTATATAGTAAAAGGGTAATATACCTCCCAGCATCGGGATCAATGGAGCCGTGAGGCCTCCCGAACCCAGGAACAGCGGAGCAGTGGTGTCAAGCGGAGCCGCGAGGCCTCCCAGCACTGGGGTCAGATGAGCCGTGAGGCCTCCTGGCCCCTGGAGCAGCTTGACAGGGGGCAGCGCCCAAACCCCCTGATCGCCCTGAGGCTCTGTGTGTGAAAGGGGGTGGGGCCACAACCTCCCTATCCGCCCAGCTCTGTGTGTGACAGGGGTCGGTGCTCCAACTCCCCTTTCAGCCCTACTCTGTGCGTGACAGGGGGGAGCTCCCCAACCCTCTGATCGGCCCTGCTCTGTGCATGACAGGGTACGGAGCCCCAACCCCCCTAATGGGCCCTGCTCTATGCATGACGGGGGTGGTGCCACAACCTCCCCATTGACCCTGCCTTGAGTGTGACAGGGGGCAGTGCCCCAACTTCCCAATCAGCCCTACCCTGAGCGTGACTGGGGGTGGCATAGCAACCTCCCGATCTGCCCTGCTCTATGCATGACAGGGGGGAGCTCCCCAACCCCCTGATCCGCCCTGCTCTGTGCATGACAGGGGGTGGCGCCCCAACTCCCCAATCGGCCTTGCTCTGGGCCTGACCAGGGGCTGCACCTAGGGATTGGGCCTGCCCTCTGCCACCCGGGAGCGGGCCTAAGCCAGCAGGTAGTTATCTCCCGAGGGGTCCCAGACTGTGAGAGGGCACAAGTGGGGCTGAGGGACACCCCCTCCGCCAGTGCACAAATTTTTGTGCACCGGGCCTCTAGTTCATCATATAAATTAAAATAAGAAATATAAGAAAAAAATTTCTTAGTGAAGCATCTTCAAGGATTTCATCAGTCAAAGAAGTTTCCTAAGAAGAAAAATTCCTCATATTTGAGGAAAGATATTTGACAATCCTTAGAGACCCTTCTGGGGAGAAAATCATTTGCGCAATCCTTTGATGGAATTTAATGCAATTAAGAGCATCTTTGGGGAGTTGAAATCACTCACCCAAACATATGTTTTGCTTAAAAAATGTTTTCCTCTATTAATGTTTTATTCTTAAAATCTTTATTGTTGAAAGTATTACATATGTCCCCTTTTTTCCCCATTGACCCTTTGTAGTGCCCCTGCCCCCCTTGTTTAAAATTTTTAATCATTCTTTCTTATATTTATCTAATCGAAAAATCTCTCCCAACTCTACTTTCTACGTTTTCTTCTATACCTGTTTCTATCAAGAGTAATATCCTTGATCTAGTTTTTATGAGGACTTCCTCCTTGCTGACAAGTTTGAAATAAAACTTTAATAGTTTCATCAATTTATTTGAAGTGTTCATATTTTTTTTACCTGACTAATTTCTTCTCTAGGTTGTTTGATGATTAGAGAAATTTTAATTCTCAGAGTTCAGTTTACTCGATTGGTAAATAAAGCAGATAGTTAAATCATTATTTCAAAACTACAGTTCTTAGAGCTTTTTAAGAAAAAAATGTTCACAAATACAAAATGTTGATTGAAATCATATTTTATTACAATGTTTCTTAAACATGTATGGATATAAGTTAGAAAAACCTTATGCTTATATTTCTAACATGATTAAAATGTTTGTATAATGTGAAATATTATGTTAAAATTCTCAGTTCAAATGTTTCGCAAAATTAATTTACACATTAAAAATAATAACAACAATAATAAAATTATTTTCAGCAGTTTCTATTTGAAGAGCAATACTCTTTTTCATTTATCCTCACAATTACCTCATGAGGTAGTTACTATTAGCTTTTTTTATAGAGGAAGAAAGCAAAATTGCCTTACTAGGGCCCCTCAGCTAGGATGATATTATTCATCTACCTTTTTGTGTTCAACTGTACCAACTTCATATTTTTTTATTTTGAGCATGATGAGAGAGCACTTGGCTATAATTGTCATCTCAGTTATTAGTGTAACTTTATAATTACTCAATAACTAATAATAAAATGTATTTTATTGGATGATAAATTTAAAGGTTTAACCAAAATAAAGTATTAAAAATAAAACATTTGTTAATAATTTTTTCATTGCTTCAAAGTAACCTTTAATAAATTAATGCAAATTGACATGTATCATGGTGTAGACTGCATTATAATTTCACTCTAAATTCCATTATCAACTGCTCAAATAACAATTTTCTTGAATTTTTAATACATCTACAAACACGTTACTTTTAAGGACAAGTCTCCAATAATATTTCTCTATTTGAACTTCTCTACAATTTTCCATTATACACATTACATTATTTTATCATTTTATTTATATACTAGAGGCCCGGTGCATGAATTTGTGTACAGGTGGGTTCCCTCTGGGTGGCCTGCAGGGATTGAGCTGAAACCAACAGTCCAACGCTGCCTGCAGCTCCTACCTACCATTCCCGCTCATCCCAGCCTGCCGCAGGCTCACGCCCAATCAGCCCTGATGCGGAGAGGCTTGCGCTGCTGTAGCAGCAGCGTTCGCCAGTCATGAGCCCTGTGGGATCGGGCTGAAACCGGGTCTCCGACATCCCCCTAGGAGTCCTGGATTTCGAGAAGGTGCAGGCCAGGCTGAGGGACCCCACCGGTGCATGATCGGGCCTGGGAAGGACCACAGGAGGGCTCCAGGGCGTGTCCGGCCCATCTTGCTCAGTCCCAATTGGCCTGACCCCAGCAGCAAGCTAACCTACTGGTCAGAGCATCTGTCCCCTGGTGGTCAGTGCACATCATAGTGAGCAGTTGAGCAGCCTTAGCATATCATTAGCATATTGCACTTTGATTGGTTGTTCGGTTGTTCTGCCGTTTGGACTATTTGCATATTACCTTTTTATTATATAGGATTCATTTATATATTCAGCCTATATCCATTTTTTCTCCCTAACTTGTGCAATATAATGTCTTACTCCATTCCACCATGTTATTTTAATGATGTCTAATGAGTCCTCTTTTATTAAATAATCAACAAAATTGTTATTCAATCAATTATTTGAAAAGTTCAATTATATAGAACTCTATAGCTATCTAAATCCATAGAAGTTCCCTAGAAACTGGAAATTTGTCATTCTCATTTTGATGGTAATAGAAAAAAAATTTAATCGTACTCTAGATCAGGTCATTTCAATACCAGCATTTACATTTGTTTTTACAATCCACTGGCTCCAAATACCTTTTCACTGGGGTATCCATTCTTCTCAGACATTTAAAAGTAGCCAGGCATTTCACTCTTCTGGCATAATCCCATCTGTGTCTAATAATAACTAGACCCCTGCTATACACTCAAAAGTGGCTTAGTTTGGACAATAAATTATATGGCTACTTTATTTATAACCAATGCCACCATTTCATTACTACATTAAGAAGAGTTTGATAGCAAAATTTTCTGTGATTATTAAAATTTTGTGATTTAAAAATGCTTTTATTAAAATCATTTTAGAAAAACTCTTCCAATTTTTATATAACCATTATTTTTACATAAATAACATTTTTATTGTTTAGTGCCCACATGACTAATTTTTTATTTTTAAATTGTTACAATGAATGTGAAAATCATAAGCTAAGTAGTAAAAATAATTCTAAATTTCTGATGCTTCTTTTTGATGAGAATGTAGGAGGGTAACAAAGTCATCCTAGATCCAGAAGGTTATCTGGATCTTGGATGATCAATATGAGAGTTCATCTGAAAACTCATTCATGGAACCAGAGTACAGGTAGATTGAAAAAGTGATCACCAGTTAGCAACTTGCAAATATCACAAGAGAAAACAATATCAAAGAAAAGCATAACATAACTTAAGGAAATGATGACTCAAATTATTTGAAGACATAAATAAGAAATACAGATCAATAAATAAAGAAGAAAGTATGTTATAATAAATTACAATATTAATGAAATGACAGCAGGGTCATGGTTATTTTTCTTACAGCATAGTTCCTGGTTTAATAATCTTAAGTGAAACAAATTTCACTTGAACAGGGTATGTAATGGGAAGGGAAAGTACCCTTCAGATGACCTGCCTTCCAATCAAAAATGGTTTCTGGCACCACACTTTCCTCAAAGCATTCTTCATCTCCATGTTTCTGAGTGTATAGATTAGAGGGTTGAACATGGGAGCAATGATGGTGTAGAAAAGAGCAAACACTTTATCTTCTGGAAAAGTTGTGGCTGGTCTAATGTAAATGAAGAGGACAGGCACAAAGAACAGGACCACCACTGTGATGTGAGAACCGCAAGTGGAAAGAGCTTTGGCACGGCTCTCTGCAGGGGAAGCCCTGATGGTGTAAAATATCATAAAGTAAGACGCCATCAAAATCATAAAGTCACCAAAGCGATCAGACCTGAATTAACAATTACCAAGAGACCAATTCCATAGGTGTCAGTGCAAGCCAATTTCAGCAAAGGATACACGTCGCAGAAATAGTGATCTATCTCATTGGGGCCACAGAACGGTAAAAAGATGGTGAGAAGAAACTGACTGGCAGAGTGGACAAATGCCCCAGTGCAACAAGCTACGATGATCCTGTTACACTTTTGCCTGCTCATGATGATCATGTAGTGCAGGGGCTTGCAGATGGCCACATAGCGGTCATAGGCCATCCCTGTGAGGATAAAGATCTCAATGCCTCCAAGGAAGTGAAGGATAAAAAGCTGTGTCATGCAGTTGTTATAGGAAATGGTCTTCCTTTCTGCCAGTAAATCAGTCAGTAGCTTGGGCACCACTGTTGATGTATAGCAAAGGTCAGAGAGAGAGAGGCAATTAAGGAAGAAATACATGGGTTGGTCAACTAGCGGACTGCATGTGATAGAAATCATTATGAGCAAATTTCCCATCCAAATAACAATATAACAAAGTAAAAACAATACAAAGTAGAGGATTTCAATGTTCTTGTTTTGAGAGAGTCCCAGGAGAATAAACACAGTGACATTATTTCTATTTTCCATGGCCCAGTGCAGAGAAAATGCATTAATAGTTCCCGGAAAAGAATGCATAAGTCATAAGTCAATGCATAAGTCAATGTTGGAAATGTTCATGGATAAGATTGATGATAACACCAATATCATGAAACTACTAGTATGTTTAAGGAATGGAAATGCTCCCAGTGTTTTAGAAAATAAATAGCTGATATTTAATAATTTTAAAATTAGTCTCATGATGATCTCCATAAGTCAGTCTTTCAGGACATTATGTTCAATCTTGATATTAATAAAAATGAATGCATTCAGTCCTGGCTGGTGTAGATCAGTTGTTTGGGCATCATCTGTGTACTGGTTTGATTCTCTGTCTGGGCAAATGCCCAGGTTGCAGGCTTGATCCCCGGTAGGGGGCATGCAGGAGGCAGCTGATAGATGTCTCATTATCACGTCGATGTTTCTCTACCTTCTTCTCTCTCTAAAAATCAATTAAAATCTTTTAAAAATAAGAATGCATGCAATCAATTTAAAATGTTTTAAAATTATTATTAGTTGCCAAATATTTTCCAATTCTAGAGTAATATATCTAAATCCTTGGAAAGACATTACTCTGGATCTTTTCAAACTCATGTTTGTTAAAGATGCAAGTATTAGTCACACAGAGTTTTTGTTTAATGTATAGAAGCAAAGATTCACGTAGTGGTACATCTACATTTACATAGTGGAAGACAAAAACTCTACACGGGTCCCATGCAATTGGTTTGAATCATTTTTTGATTGCTTGTTTACTTTTATCTTAGTGACTCGTGAAGGTAAAATGCTGATATTGTATAATAGAAGCATAGCTTTTTCTATAGGGATGTCAATAATAATCATATACTTAAAAGAACCACAGAATAAAGCAATAGTTAAAATTTCTAAAGAGAAGCATACAGCAGTCAGCCCTTCATGGTTTTGCTCTTGATCGGTGTTTCAAATTTTACAAGTCAATTTCTTCTCAGTGGTTTAAATAAAAGTATGAATTTTTGTTCTATATTTGTTCAATCAATACCTTTTGCCAAAACTCATAAAGAATCTTGACACTGCATAATTCATAAAAAAAGTTTGTGGGAAAGTTTTATATGAAGACAAACAGATGGGACCTAGGTTCTATTACTAATTATAGCAGTGTGTGAATTTGGGTCCCAGTCACTTCATTTCTTTGAATTTAATTTAGCTCGTTTGTGAAATGAGGACACATGCCTGAACTTTGTCACAAAAATGAAACTCAAACAAATCAATAAATGACCATTGATTTATTAACCATAGCAGTATTCACTGCTGATTTTATCTCAATGTTAGTGTTACTAAGTCAGTAATCTGGTGACCACATGGTCCAATTCTCTTTACTATAAATTTTGACCCAAAATGTATCATTAATACTCACCACTTTTTCTTAAAATGTGTGCTATACCTTCTGCCCTAATCTTGTCAATTAGGTTTCAAATTCTCTCCTCCTTACTATTTTATAGATTTAAGTTATTGTGTCACCTTTCAATTAAAAATACCTTTGTAATGGGTCTTTAAAACGAATTTATTTCTATGGTGCAACTTTAAGATTTAGAATTAGCTTATAGTGACGCCATTGAAAAATAAGGGTTCATGCCTCCAATTATAGTATGTAAATACTTCCTTACTTAAAAACAAATAAACATTATTTAAAAATAATGTTTTAAAAGCTGTTCTGATTTTTACTCTTAAAGTAATTGCTTGTTCATATGAATGAACATAAAAAAAACCATTATTTAAATCCTGTGCATGGAAATAACCACCTGAATTGTTTTCCCCTCCCATTCCCCAGAAACTACCGCCCGTATTTCTGACTCTTCAACTATAAAGTATGAGATCTCTCATTTCTATTCTTGAGGCAGTCATCCATTTTAGGTGGGAGCTCCTATCTTTATATCCTTCAACACTGTTTGTTATCTAAAATGGAGAGAAATACTTTTAGTCATTATGGGGTCAGAACCTGCAAAGGGAATACTTGCAGTTTAGTTTGAAGCAATGCAAGAGTAATAATACCTTAGAGAGGTAAAAATTTAGGTGAGGCTTTTCTGATCAAGTATCTATTGAACACCTAAGTGCTACTTAGCAAACCAGAACTTGAACCCAGAGTTTGCTGAGTCTAGATCCTGAGTTCTTACATAAAAATGTAGTAAAAGCAACAGAGTAAATTTATGTTAACAATCCCACTTTTTCACCTAATTCTTTTTTCTAATTATTTTATGTAAAGCCAGATAATGTCTAAAGTTATTGTCCTTGAACCATTTCAGGCATTCTAATTTTGATATGCAGATGACAAATTGAGATAAGAAATTAATCCAGGAGGAGCTTGAAACCTTTTGTTTGAGGAAGATAATTACAGCTAAGCCAGATAAAACACCGATTCAGGTATTACATGAATATGGCATGAAGACCAAGAACTTCCCAGTGTATGAGTGTGAAAGATCCAATATGCAAATCCACGTGCCCCGTTTCACCTTCAGAGTAACCGTTGGTGACATAACCTGCACAGGTGAAGGTACAAGTAAGAAGCTGGCAAAACATAGGGCTGCAGGGGCTGCCATAAACATTCTGAAAGCCAATGCAAGTATTCCCTTTGCAGTGTCTGACCCCATAATGTCTGACCCTTCCAAACAATCAATGAATCAGCTTAATCCTATTGGTTGATTACAGGAATTGGCTATTCATCATGGCTATTCACCATTACTAAATATACCCTTTCCTAGGAGGGAGGACCTGCTCATAAGAAAGAATATACGACAGTTTGCAAGCAAGAGTCATTTATGGAAACTGGGAAGGGGACATCAAAAAAACAAGCCAGGAAAAATGCTGCTGAAACTTTTCTTAACAAATCCTGTAATATTTATCCAGAAAATTACATTTCTTTAGCAAATGCAGCAGGACATTCTTTAGGACGTACTTGGCATTCTTTAAAGAATTCTCAGGGTGAAAAGATCAACCTACTGAAAAGAAGCCTCCTCAGTAGTCCAAATATAGATTACAACCAACTGCTTAGTGAAATCACCAAGGAACAAGGTTTCAATATAACGTATTTGGATATAGAAGAACTGAGTGCCAACGGACAGTATCAGTGTCTCACTGAACTCTCCCCCAGTCCCATTGTAGTCTGCCATGGCTCTGGGATCTCCTGTGCCTATGCACAGTGATGCCACCCACAATGCTTTGCAGTATTTAATGATAATAGCAGAAAGAAAGTAAACTTGGAGCAACTTGTTGAAAGTAAACTTGTCAACTTCAGCAGCACATAAAAAGTTCCTCTGTCACCCCTTCTCAAGCAAAGCGTTGACTGTAATGTTTGAGTTTGTGTGTCATTTCTAAATCTCATAGATTCCATCAGCACTCTAGAGTCAATTATTGCCTAGTTGTTATTAAACTCTTTTTAATGGCTTCAACTTTGTATTGGTATATTGTATTTATAAACTTTGTACCATAGGCAGGGTGTAGCACCCATTAGACAATGCCATGTACATAGAAGGAAGAAACTGCATGCTTTTTGATGATGATGATGAAATGATGAAATAAAACTGCTAACAGCAGTCTTTCTTCCTGGTGCTTAGCCTCGTCTTTGTGCAAGACTTTGCAAAGGGAATTCCACGGAAGCCCCTTGGAATGACAGTGTTGAGGATGCACTAAGAGGCTTTGACTAAATGACTTAAATATCAGGGAACATGATTGGTCTGCTGTGTACTAATATTTGAATCCATGTAATAAAGAGATGTTGTTATAATGGGTTCTACTTATTAAAGTGTTATTGACTTGAAAAAATGAGCAAGCTAGTCTTGATGATTTATACGATATGTTTCAGTTAAGATTTCACATAACCCTTGGACTCCAAAATTGTTAAAAGTAAAGATTTGAAAAACCTTGAGCATGAGGAAATGAAATGAAATTGCTTGGGTTTATATTCTAGCTTTGTTATGAATAATCTTATGACCTCAGTATATTTTTTAACTACACTATCAGTAGGTCTAGTAATTCTTATATTAGCTTACAATTTGAGCATTCCTGTGTGCCTAACACTCTTCTAAACATGTTATAGGCATAAACTTTTTAATCCTCATAATAACACTAAGAAGTAAATATTAATTGTAAATCCATTTCACAGAAGAGGAAAGTGAGTTATAGAGATGTTAATTAGGCCAACACCATTAACCTAAGACATAATAGTATCAATATCTAAAACCACATAAATTTCACTTAGCAATACACTTAGCAAAATGTTATGTACTTTTCACAGTTCCTGATACTGAATGAATAGGTGATACTATTGGTATTTAAAACAGAGGGTCTCACTGACCCCAATATGTCAATTTTTAATCTGTGCTAAAGTAAACTATATACATCCTTAATTTGCAGGATCCTAAATTCCTGAAATACAGAGAGGCTCTCTTACATTCTGCTTTGAAATAGTAGGAAGCACTTTCACAAATTTAATTTTGAATTCTAGCCACCTCTCCCTTATCTGTGTGATTTTTGGCAAGTACTATTTTTCCTCAGACCATCATATCACTGTTGGGAGTACATTGATCTCCCAACACTGTTGTGAGAATTAACTAGATAAAGTGTATGTCACCCAGTTCATGGGAGGGGCTCAATAAACATTTCAATAATTTTGCATTTGTTCTATCACTTGTCAACTACAGGTTATCATTCACTTAACCAATAATCAGTAGGCTACCATTCATTTAGTCAATAACCAGTAAATGTGTGTTGAATTATTAAAATAAATAACTTCAATGACATAAAATAGTATATAAGTAAAATATTCAATAATTGAAATTATCATCACCATTATTACAGACAACAAGTAAATAGAGATAAGGTAAATAGAGATTCAAGTTTTGAAATGAGATGCTTCTATTTGATTTTATAGTGGCCTTGCCTGGGGTCTTTGGTTAAATTAATTCTTGGGCCAACTTTTTTGGGGAAGAGAAGGGAATAGTGATCATGGTAGTGGTTATGGCAGG